CGACGACTTACCATAGATTTCGACATTTTTACAACAGGTATCAAATTCTTCATATCTGGAGTTGGTTTATTCATTTTATGAATTAAAATCTTTTTTCAGAAGATCGTTTAAAAAAAGATATTTGAATCAAATCTTTAATCACACATTAATTCATTTCTAAATATTATTTTTCACTTCAAATTTCTTTAATTTTTTTCTTTACTTTTACCATTTGCTAGTATAAAATTATAATAATGAGTTTGTTTTTGGTTTATTTCCAACCTCTACATAAGAGTAAGAAACTCTCATGCATTCATTTACTCTTTTACTTTGTATTTACTATGAGCGGTTCAGTTTTTTTACTGAACCATTTGCCCATATAAAACAGCAACCGTGACTTTGATTGTATTTGCACGCTTTGTATGAACTTATGGTTCAGTTATTCGATTGAACCTCTAGTCAAATGTAAAGCGATTTTCGCTCAGTCATTTCTTTTCTCTTTTGTATTTACTTTGCATAACATTGTAGGTTCACTTTTTTTATTGAACCGCTTGCACGCATTAATTTAAAAGTTATGATTATTCTACGTAGATATTTTGCGGGACTTGTTTTCTCTTATATTTTTATATTTATTTGTATGTTTTGTGTTTATTATAAGTAATGTTGGATGTAACTAACATATGTATGTGTGATATTATTTGTATTGTACGTTTTGTGTTTATGTTAATTTGTTTGGAACAGCTATTATAAAAAATGTTAAGTAGTAACATAGCGAGATTATTTACCTAATAAAAAAAAATCTAAAAAGGAAGCTTTGTTAAGGTGTTCAGTGAACACTCTGAACCATTCGACGCCTCGCCTCTGGAATACACTTATTTTTTATAGTTCAAAAAATTTATTTAAAATGATTACTAAAATTATTAACAAGCTTTTAATTAATGCTAGTTATAAAATTTATTAAAAGTACTTAAAAACTGTCTTATTATTAATTAAAACTATTTATAAAATTTATTATTACCTATTATTAAATAAAGCTATTTATGGTATAAAATTTATTAAAAGTACTTAAAAGCTATCTTACAACTAATAGGTTCCTTACTCAGAGTCGGACGATTGTATTTCGGATTATAACAAAGTTGAAATATACTGAGTAAGGGACCGTGTTGCCTTCCTCACCGCCTTGTCCATCTTTATGTAGGAGGCTATAAATTGTCGCATTGTTGGCTCCCTACTGGATGAAGGTGAACTACGCTGGGATGAAGTATACTGGGATGAAGTATGCTGGGATAAAGTGTGCTGGGATGAAATATACTGGGATGAAGTATGCTTTGAACCAACCAAAGGTAATGGGAATTCGATTTCAACTGCTAAACTACCGTCTTCACTGTTGATTACAATTGGTGGATTGAAATTGCGGTGCTGATTGCAATACTCGTGAAGTTGGCCATAAAAGGGCCAATTTATTGCGTTGTCAACGCCTTCCCCGTCTCTACATGTCGGCGGATTTCTGAGACGCTAAAAATAAAGTATTATTATTCTGTTATATTCAAAACAAATTCATTTTATTTTGTATCTTCCCAAGAAATTGAACCACCGTTTTTTAAGGGCACTCCAGAGTCATCATTAGATCCATATTGGTTACCAACCAGTCTGCAAAATAAAAATGTAATTTTTAATACATATTTAATGGCACATCATATTTAAATTAAAGGAAAAAGAAAACAGGAAATAAGCTAAAATAATATATTAAGATTATTTTACATATTATTAATAATATATATTAATATATTATAATATATTAATAAGGCTAATATATTTCAGAAATACAGGACTTATTAACATTAAATTACGTTAGTATTATTGTTAATGTATTAATAATTTGAACTTACTCCCAGCATTTTCAGCCGTATGTGGGCCTGAATGAAGCCTCCACCATTGCGTTACCCACTATAATTAGGAAATATATTATTAACATTTATATACGTAAAATATACGTAAATTGAATAAAATAAATACTTACATTTTTTATTATATACAAGCTTTTTTGACATTTTAATGTTATGTTGATGTGTAACAAAATTTTAGCTGCCGTATAATTCCATAATCTTGAATATGTTCAACACAAACACAATTATGCAAACGTCCGATTAGAGTATTTATTACTAACACTTTTTAGTTTCATCGTCTTGCTCCATTTGCAAATAAGCGTCTTTTAAATCTATTTTTGTAAACAGTTTGCCGTACCGAATAGTGTGAAATAAATTTTCGCGCAAAGGTAATGGATATTGTTCAACATCAATTTGTGGACTCACAGCAGCTTTAAAATCTGCACAAATACGAACCGAACCATCAGGTTTTTTGACTAACACGATAGGTGATGCCCATTCACTAAATTGCACTGGCTTTAATATTTCAGCATCTATTAACCGATTGATTTCTTGTTTAAACTGCGGTATTAATGCGAACAGTACTTGACGGCTTTAACATAATTTTGGTATAGCATTTTGTTTGAATTTTAATGATGCTTTAACATCTTTAATAGTGCCTAAAGCAGGCTTAAACAATTCAGAATAATTTTTAATTATTTCATTTTCCAATTTTGCTATTGTTCCCATACGATGAATTTCAAATCAAATTTGTTTTTCACCAAATCCATATAGGCTATGATTTGTTTTAATAAGTGTTAGACGATTTAAAATATTATACGTGGATTTTGTTAAGATTGAAACCGACACACCGCACCTGAATCTATTTGAAATGGAATTACTTTCATAAAACACAATTCCGATTTCATTATCGGTTTTTGTTTTGTGGGATGCATTGTTTTTGTGACTCTCTCCTCTTTTGTCAATACTGTAAATTTACACATTATCTACAGTGTGCGTATTGTTTTTGAAAGATTTTTTGTTGGGCTTTTGCTTTTTTACAGCTTGACAAACTGGAGATATACCTATGACCAATTTTCGCGAAATTATTACAGATTGCATTTTTATACTTGCATTCGTCTCGCGAGTAAGACACAAAATATCCCGAACACCTTTTAAACTTGTTAGTTATTTTATTAAAATTCCGACGTGAATTTTTTTTATCATTTTTTTCGCACACAATATTTATTGGTATATTGTTACCAAATTCTTGATTTTAAGCAGATTATCGCTGTGGAATGATTAAGAGATAAGTCTCAGGTTGTATATGTTGAGATAGAACTTCTACGTAGGCCTTTGGTAACGGCAAAGGCAATAATGTCTGTGGCTCATTTATTTTCTTGCGAGAATTTTTTCACTTGTTTTTTGTCACTTTTTTCGAATTTGCCGTTTATGTAGCATAAAAGACTCAGCATGCGAGAACGTTATGGTGTGATGAGAAGAACTGATGAAAATGGAACGTTAATTTTATATGTTAACTGATTATATTTAAATTTAAATTTAAAATATTTATTATAATTAAAATACTAAATATAATACAATATATATATTAAGTATATATGTGAGTATTCAAGTATATATGTGAGTATTATTCATTTTTTGTGTTGGCAATTAGGTTAGGTTAGGTTATACCGGTGATCCCTAGTGGATCCACTTAGGCCTATTGGCCCATTGTGATGCCGTATATAAATAATAAAAAAAAAACCTCAGTGTTTAAAACCACCTAGAACCTTTTGCGAAGCATAAAATGCTATCCTGTAACTGATCCAGGTCCTCAAGGAAGGGGGCTCCTAGAGTACTGAATCGCCGACGTGCATGAGCTGGACAAAAACACAACAGATGAGATGCGCTCTCATCGTCCTCCCCACAGCTACGACAGATTTAGTTGAAAGGAAGACCTAGTCTTCTAGCATGGTTCCCTAGCTTACAGTGCCCTGTAGTCAACCCTACCAGAAGACCAATGTCCTTGCGGGACATCTCAATTAGAGTTTTCGATTTCCTTTTATCGGAAAGTGGCCAGATTGCATACAGATGTCTACATATCGTTGAGTCTTCCCATGTTTTGTTAAAAGCATTAGTGCAGAAAGAACTCAATAACAATTTACATGATGTTAGCGATATGCCCAGATAGTCTAGGCATATCTAGAAGCACCCTTTCTGGCTAACTCGTCTGCTTTGCAATTTCCGAAAATATCCCTATGGCCGGGAACCCAGATTAGAGAAATATTGAGCTGCGTCGACATTTCGTTTAGAGATGTGTAGCAGTCAAGAACCGTCCTAGATGTAAATTGAAACGAACTCAAGGACTTTAATGCAGCTTAACTGTCTGATAGTATGTATATATTCCTGCCAAATATATCATCTACATTCAAACAAGCTATAGCTTCCCTGATGGCGACCACTTCCGCCTGGCAATTAACAAATCCAACTTATTTTTGGTGCTTTTTAATAATGTAAGCATCTCTTGAAATGTTTGGTTCTCCTTTTCATTTTGCTCAGTAATGAGGCGCTTAATTCTTTCGATCTCTGACAAGTAGGTGCCATCCTTGCTTTTTTAGGTTCCGGCGCTAATGACGGCGCTGGTTCTACTTGGTGTGTGGGCATTGGAGAACCAAAGTTGTTATCTACAATTTCTTCACTCTCACGAAACGTCACCTCAAAGAAATTTGATTGTATCCGCAAGCAAACAGAAATTGAAGAAGAAAACAGAAATTGATATTAATATGTAAAACAAAAACATGTATTTCTTTTATCGGAATGCCTGTTTGAGGGGTATTTTGATCACCATCCACTGCATGCTTTGAAAACAATGCTATCATCTCTTTATCCATTCCCTCAAGAGTTTTCGGCTCTTCACTACTCGAGTTTCTAGTTATATTTTATTTATTTTGTTAGTGATATATGTAGAATTAAATGAAATTAACATAACAAATAGCACTTGTATCGAAAGTACAAGTTTACAAGTGCAAATTTATTCACTTCAAATCACTTTTTCCATTGATCTGGGTTTTTATTGGATCCTCCAAAAGTATTTATTTCTTCAACACAGTTTTGACAAAAGTTTTCAGTATTTTTATGACTATCCGGGCCCGAAAATTAACCTCGAGCAATACAAATATTTTACTTTAGCAGCCCTAGTAATCAGTAGCGAGGCGTCAGCTTTTTGGTAAGGTGTTCACAATTTAATCAAAACAGAATTCCAACTATAACGTATTCCCCCTACTTCTAAGTTTTGTCCTTTCCACAAACAAATAGCGTACAAGACCAATAAAACAATTTATTTAACTGTTCGCAGCCTGTGATCCACTGGTTTTTATTTACCATAAAGCTGTAGCTGTAGGAAAACGACGACTTACCATAGATTTCGACACTTTTAGAACAGGTATCAAATTCTTCATATCTGGAGTTGGTTTATTCATTTTATGAATTAAAATCTTTTTTTCAGAATATCGTTTAAAAAAAGACATTGCATCAAATCTTTAATCACACATTTATCCATTTCTAAATATTATTTTTCACTTCAAATTTCTTTAATCTCTTACTTTACTTTTACCATTTTCTAGTATAAAATTGCAATAATGACTTTGTTTTGATTTATTTCCAACCTTTATATAAGAGTAAGAAACTCTCATGCATTCATTTACTCTTTTACTTTGTATTTACAATGCCCGGTTCAGTTTTTATACTGAACCATTTCCCCATATAAAACAGCAACCGTGACTTTGTATTTGCACGCTTTGTATAAACTTTTGGTTCAGTTTAGTGGAATGATCCTCTCGTCAAATGTAAAGCGATTTTCGCTTAGTCATTTCTTTTCTCTTTTGTATTTACTTTGCATAACATTGGAAATGCACTTTTTTTATTGATCCGCTTGCACGCGTTAATTTAAAAGTTAAGATTATTTTACGTACATATATTTGTTTATATGTTTTGTGTTGTGTATTCAATATTGAACATAATCCCAATGTGAATGTTATTTCATTTGCTTGCTTTGTAAGCAACGCAGTGCAGTTTTTATTCTGAACCTTAGTATATTTCAAGAGGAATGTGTTTTCTCTTTTATTAATTATAAGTAATGTTGGGTGTAACTAACATTTGTATGTGTGATTTTGTTTGTATTATACGTTTTGTGATTATGTTAATATGTTTGGAAAAGCTATTATAAAAGATGTTAAATAGCAAAATAGCGAGATTATTTACCTAATAAAAAAAATCTAAAAAGGAAGCTTTGTTAAGGTGTTCAGTGAACACTCTGAACCATTCGACGCCTCGCCTCTGCTAGTAATATGTATTTTTGTGTCTTCAAAACACGACTAGACAAATTTTTTTTAAAAAAATCGCAAATGAAATAAAACATTTCAATTTATTAATAATACCTATAAATATATTTAAAATTATATATACATATGTATCTATATAAGTACTTACATCACTAATTACGAATATATATATATATAATAAATAAAGTCATATGTAGCACCTCAGTGCAACACATATCATATGACTACCTCATAAGTGCAATTCAAGTACAGTGTATTCTGATTAAACTGCAAGTTGACAATTTCCGTGGGAATGCTTTGTTCATTGAGTTCTACTGAATGAAAATATTGTTATCACTATCTTTGACTTAATTCAGGAATTTAAAGAATAATAAAATCATTTTAATGATAAACTTAAACAAAGATTTATTAATTTATCTATACTTTATTTAAATAAAACAAATGTTTTCACTATTACTTTATATAAATTTAACATAAATTCAACATTCAAAAAATCTCGCAGGCAATTTGTCAGGTGACAAAAACTCGAACGAAAAGATTTATTATTTTGTGTGTCTAATCTAACAACAACGTCTTCATTAATTTTGTTTCTGATTACTTCTACTAATGTATGTTAAATTTATTATATGAAAAATGTTACCGAACTTTTCGTAAATCACATCATCACCGTTGAATACTAGTACGTAATCTTCTCTGACATAGTTAATTATTTCCGTTGACACCATGCCAAATAAAATTAGAAAAATTATCAGTAATGCGTCCATAGCCTGTAAATGTGAAGAATTTAATTTTTTATTGTATTAAGTTCTATAGTTTTATGCTTTAATAATGTTTTTATGAGCTATTCTATTCCTATTATGGTTATTTAATTTTTTTCTAGATCTTCTTCAAACCTTTGCTTTTTATATTTTGCGTCTAGTTTTTTTCTAAGGCAATAGGTATGTTAAACCTTTTCGTAAATGATTTCATTGGGTTTGCAATCTTTTAGGGTTTTTTTTGTTTAATATATTATTTTGTGATTTTTCTAATCTGCACGGAACACATTTTCGTGTTGGACCTTATTAAATAGAACATCCTGTGACCTCAAATCAGTGACGGTATGAATCGTTTTATTGCAATGTTGAACAGCTCTATATAATATAATACTATAATATAATATTTAGTCATGAACTATAATATATTCTTTTAAACATCTAGTGATTTCTGTAATTGTGGAGTGAACACATTCTATTTGATCGTTAGTTAAAGTGTGTTGCGGATTGAAATTAAAGATACTAATATTTATTCGTTGCAATAAACTTTTGAAATGGGGGTTTTCGTCATCTAGAACTATTCTTCGGGCTAATGGGAATATTTGTAAAATTTCTAAAATTTTTTCGTCTAATTTAGTTTTGTCTTCAATGTGTTTGATCACTAAATATTTAGAATTGGCGTCAATGCTTGTGATAAATATAAGTTTATGTGGAAAGAAGATATCTAAGTGTACTACCTCCCCCTCCTTCTTAGGAATTAGAGCCTTGCCAATTGGTATTGTTGTATTGCCTATTGTGTTTACTTCGGTTGCATATTTCACAGTGACGTGCACAGTGTAAAATGTTGTGTCATTTGTAGCCAGTAATATAT